TCAAAAAAAAAAAAAAACCCTTTATTGTTATATTTTATAATACATGTGTGTATTTAGTTCATATGCATATATACAAACTATATATATGATATGTAATATTTTTATTTTTGTTAAAAAAAGAGACAAGATCTTAAGTCTACCCAGACTTGAGTGCAGTAGTTCAATCACAACTCACAGTAACCTCCCAACTCCTGGGCTCAAGCAATCCTTGTGCCTCAGCCTCCTGAGTAGCTGATAGTACTTGGTGGGCAACACCAAGCTTAGCTGATTTATAAATGTTTTTGTAGAGATGAAGTATTACCAGGTTGCCCAAGCTGGTCTTGAACTTCTGGTCTCAGGTGATCCCACTAGCCTCCCAAAGTGCTGAATTACCAGCCCTTTATTTTTATTTTAATGTAGTTTCAGGCAAAGGTACCAGTAATTGCATGTGTTTAATACATTCTCTTTAACTAAAAGACCCTTTTCCTTAAAATTGAAAAAAGGGGGAGCTTTTTGTGGCATTGTGGACAAGACCCTTTATGACCCAGCTTCTACTAATCACTCTAGCCTCACTTCTCTCTATCGCAACTGGCCCTCAGCCTAAGCTTCAGCCACAAGTATCTACTTAAGAGATTGCCAAACAAACCATGCTGCTTCATGCCTTTCAGTTATGTACGTGCTATTTCCTCATTGTGTCCTTTGTCCTTTTAAGACTCTCTATAGTTAAGCTTTCCTGAATCATCTGAGTCCCCCTCTGTCGGTGCTTATTGTATGACTGCAATTATTTATTAACTTTAAAAGGAAATCTCAGCCTAGAGATTTCTTAACCTGAATGCAGGCGGAAGGGCTTTCCATAGATTAGCTGTAGGAAATCTTGAAAATCACTTGTAAAATTTAATGCATAGGTTTATTTTTTTTTTTTTTTGAGAATTCAGAATATGTATCAGAAAGACCTGTGGAGCTGGATGCAGTGGTCTTAGCTACTAGGGAGGTTAAAGCAGGAGAATCTCTTGAATTCAGGAGTTTGAGACCAGCCTGGGTAACATAGTGACATCCCAACCTCATAAAAAAGAAAGGAAGGAAGGGGAGTAGAGAAGAAGAGGGAGAGGGTGGAGAGGACAAGAGAGGGAGGGAAGGGAGAAAAAGAAAGAAATACCTGTGGACCTTTTAAAAGATAAAATTTCTTTGGGCTCCACTCCAAAGACCTGCTAAGTTATAGTCTCTGAAGTTAGGGCCCAGGAAGATATATTTTCCAAAGCTATATTCTAAATGATTCTTTAGAACAGTATCTCTGAGCATCATCTACATTTATTCCAGGGCATGGCATATAGTGAATGATTAGTGGATTTTTGAACAAAGAAAAAAGGAAGAAGTTAAGTACAGGGCACAACCTAAAATAAATTTCCTGTGTGAAAACAGAGTACAAGTGAAGAAATTGCTAATTTATTTTGTTACGTAAATGAAGTCATAGCATCTAATTCCAAAACCATTTTGTCCTCAAGCCCCTTCATATTTTTTTTTTAACTTTTATTATTATTTTTTTTTGAGACAAGAGTCTCAAGCTGTCACCCTGAGTAGAGTGCTGTGGTGGCACTGCTCACAGCAACCTCAAACTTTTGGGCTTAAGCAATCCTCTTGCCTCAGCCTCCCAAGTAGCTGGGACTACAGGCACCCGCCACATTACTCAGCTATTTTTGGTTATACTTATCATTGTTGTTTGGCGGGCCAGGGCTGGATTCAAACCCGCCACCTCCAGTGTATGTGGCTGGCGCCTTAGCCTCTTGAGCTATAGGCACCGAGCCGACTTTTATTATTTTTTTGAGGCAGAGTCTCACTTTGTCGCCCATGGTAGAGTGCCATGGCGTCATAGCTCATAGCAACTTTAAACTCTTGGGCTCAAGCAATCCTCTTGCTTCAGCCTCCCAAGTAGCTGGGACTACAACCGCCCACCAAGATGCCTGACTGTTTTTTAAGAGATGAGGTATGGCTCTTCCCGAGGCTAGTCTGACACTCCTAAGCTCAAGCAATCCACCCACCTCAGCCTCTGAGAGTGCTAGGGTTACAGGTGTGAGCCACCATCTGGCCAGCTTCCCCCTTTAGATATAAGTAGGGAGGTAACAGAGCTGGGATTATTTTTTTTCGAAGGTAGAGGAAAGCTTTGGAAAGCTATGTACAACAATGAAAGAAACATTTAAGGATTGGACGTAGGACAAGTCAGATGTATGTAGTCCAATTTTGGTTATTCTGGCTGCTTGGGGTCGTATTTGACCCAGTGATTTAGTTACAAAAGAATGCCATAAATACCACTACTTTATAGACTTCCAGAACCTGCGCATTTAATGAAAGGCAAGTGATATAGAAAATTGGAAATTGACATGTTGCTTTGGAAAAAAATACATACATTTTATTTTAACTGCATGGAAATAAAGAACACAAAGAACCCTAATTTCCTGGAGTGTTCTGCCTTTTGCTTCCTCTATGTCTAAGAGTTGTTTTTTGTTTTCTGTTTTTTTAAATGTATGAGTTAAAACTACAAGGTCCAACCATTAAGTTCACAAATCCTAGGAAAAGTGCTACATCTGTCATTGATGAATATCACTACAGTCACCTTCAAGTACTCTGCTTGGGAACCTTTGTAATGACACCAGTGCTTAGTCGACCCTTCAAAGCAATTTTGGAACTTTTTCTAGAATAGCCATCAGAGCTGTCATTGTATTGCCCTTGATGTACTGAATGTCATCAACATGTCTTCCTTTTAATATTTCCTTTGTCTTCAAGTAAAGAAAAAAGTCATTGGGGGCTACAGCAGGTGAGTAGGGTGGGTGTTCCAATATGGTTACCTGTTTATTGGTTAAAAGCCCTCATAAACAGTGTCATGTGAGCTGGTACACTGTTGTGACGCAAGAGCCATGAGTTGTTGAAAAGTTCAGGTTGTTTTCATCTAACTTTTTCATACAGCTTTTTTAGCACATCCAAATAGTAAATTTGTTTAATTGTTTTGTCTAGTTGGTACTTATTCATAATGAATAATCCCTCTATATCAAAAAAGCTTAGTGACATTGTTTTGACTCAATTTGAACTGATAGAATTTTTTTGGTTGTGGAGAATTGGCTGACTTCCATTGTGCACTTCGATGCTTTGCTTCAGGGTCATGTTGGTACATTTATGTGTCATCACCAGTGATATCATTATCTTGCCTCTCCGAAAAATCTTGGCAAACTTCGACTCTCCTTTGCTTGTTCATCAGTGAGCTCCTTTGGGACCATTTTTGCACACACCTTTCTCATGCCAATATTTTCAGTTAAAATTTTCCTTTTTTTTTTTTTTTTTTTTTT